CAGGAAATCGTTTATTTTGTCCTTCCCTGGAAGCCAAGAGGTCGAGTACACTGTAGAAGTCTGAATTTTACCAATACCTTAACTAGAGACACTGGCATAGAACTCGAATACTTAGGAAATGTAATGTTACATAGAGAGAACTGGAGAGTGTATGTGATGGCATAGAGCCCGGCTGATAGGCAGCTAATGTATGTTCCCCCCAATCCCATCAATAATTATACTTGACTGCAGTGCTTTCTCATATATCTGGCATAACGACAACGTCGATCTCGATAAGCAACACATATGTACATTATTTAGAAGTAGACTCTCTGACATATCCAAACCTTTCTTTACAATCTCTCTGTTGATGTCAGTAAGCTAAGATTTTATAGACATCTGAAACCTGTATACACAATGGAACGTTATCTTCACATCAAAGACTTCGATGTTAGATCAGCCATATGTAAGGTTAGAGTTAGCGGTCATACATTAGAAATAGAAAAGAGTAGATACAAACAATTGTCTGTTAACGACAGAATATGTAAATAAGGGTACAGGAAATGCAGTGGAGGATGAAATGCACTTTATTTGTCATTGCCCTCATTACAGTACCGAAAGAGATAAGTTATTTGAAATGGTCACCAAAATGTTCCCTAGCTATGAGCTTTATTCACCTTCCCAGCCTACAAAAAACTGCATTTCTATTAACACCTTCCAATTCATATAAAATCTCGCAAAATGTCGGCCATTTCATACTCACACGGAAAAGAAATCAAACCCAACAATAATTACAAATGTATATCTAAAGTAACATTAGCATTACTTATTATCAATTTTACTGTTTATTTGTTGTTATCATGTTCTTGCAATTAGCCCTCGGGCATAAATTTGCAATAAACTTTCATATATAGTAAGTGTTGCATACCGATTCACTGGACTTGGATCCGGACTTGTAAGAATGTTTAGGTTCAAGTAAAAAAAAAAAACTAAAAGTCAAGAACCGAGTCCGGACTTATTACCACAAAAGACCATATCACAGACCCCTTTTCTTTCCAAAGCAGCTAAAACCTTCCGTAGATTGCAAAATCTTTGCTGCAAAATGAAGAAAACATTGCCATCGGGCATCATCAAGTACCGGCCTCCGTGTTATGTGGCCAAAGTTTCACCCAGACAACATTGCAAGGTTGTCAACATGCAATTTTGTATATGCCATGGGTTTAGGTCCGGACTTACAAGTCCGGAACTGAACCTAAACCTCTGGACTTGAATCCGGACCTGAACCTAAATGTGGGTTTAGGTATGCACCACTATTCATATATATTAATTTGAAGCCTTGCTCTGTCTGGAAGGTGGTTGTGTTTGCGGCTGAGAAGAAACTGCCAGTGATGGAGGCTATCAATGCTGTGAAGGACGAGGCACTGCTGCCCAGAGAGAACTTCAGGGAACTCCAGCCCAAACTCGCAAAGGTCCTGGACTCAGACGCAGGTGAGACATCTGCCTACATGAGAGAAATGTTTACATACTGTAGTGATAGGGCAGTAAGAACCACGCGGCAAAGTGTATCTGACCTTTTGTATGTGCCAAGGGTTCATCGGGAAGTATACAGAAGATCGTTTTCCTACTCAGGCTCAGTACTGTGGAATAACGTATCAACTGAGCTGAGAACAGCTACGTCAGTTGCAGCTTTTAAAAACAGACTGCGTCGAGTCACTTAGAATGACTAAATTTGTGAACTAAACTTGGATGTTTGATACTGATGAAATATATGAACCGAGATAATGTTTGAATTTTGTATACTTACTAAAAAAAGGTGTCATTGTTAGGCCAGACTGACTTAATTTTCAATTTCTTTATTGCACTAATTCAAATGTACATCAGCAGGGGGAGAAAAACTACTACCCCCTCAATTGAGTACCATTTGTCACATAAAAAAATTGAGAGACAATACATGAACATCTAAATAAGGTATATACAAAGACCTACATGTACATGTATACAAAATAATTAAAATATACACAAAGTCCATACTGATTGCATCCAGTTAAGTCAGGTTCAGTTTATATTGAAGACCAAGAAGGTAGGTTATTGTCAAGTCTGATGGCTCAATACAGGAAAGACTGCTGCAGTCGTTTGGTTCTTGCATAGGGAACTGTCATGTACTGTGTTAAGCATGACATCCTCTGAAGACCCCAAAAATAGTGTGTACGGACGAATAAAAGAAAATCCAGCCAGAAAAAAAAATGCTGCTAAGGCCATACCAATTTTATTTCTTGGTTTACGGATTTTTTTAGAAAAATAATGGAGCGGGCGGGCGAAAAAAAAATAAAAATAAAAACAGGTCTAGGCATCCTATTATTGCCCAAAATGGTACGATAGGAGCCATGAAGTCAACACACCAGGCTGGTTCAAAATTTAAACAATGAATTTTGAACTTTTAATGATACCATTGCATTGAAAGATGGAATAACTGTAACAACTAGGAAGAAAAGGACTGTTTTCAACTATTAAGGGCAAAATATGAGCATTTTGCAGTTGATTCAGAATTTTTATTTTTATTTGCAAATCAGAAAAAAATGAAGCGGGCGAATCCGTTAACCAAGAAATTAAATTGGTGTGGCCTAAACCACAGGAAATACAAAATTGGTATTGTGAATTTGCAGTAGTGCATAGCAACTTTTAGGACAAGCCTTTTGCTGCATTTTATGAGTTCCGTGGGGCTTTGGCAGCCTGGGTGCTGTCCTCTGTAGTTACCACCGGCTCCCCATTGTCGCTAGCTACATTTGTACCATGAATTACGGAGGATGGCACCCAGGCCAGAGCCGCCTTGGAGGTTATTTTTTTTTTGATAACAGCCGATATGTTCTCTGGTTAAATAAACAAATAAGCAACAAAATCAATGCGTGCGGATGTCATTAAATTATTGCGGCCTTATCATCATCATATCATACTGCTTGCCCTAAGTCTGCTGTGTTTCTCGAGCATCTGTGTCTTTCATATTATTAATGTTCTTTACTTCCTCTGTCAATGGACCTATAACATTATTATGTCACAGTTTGTTTACATATTCTTAAGAACATTCTAGAACGGTCAGTTAAAGAATAAAGATCATTTAAAAGTTTTCAAAGTCAAGTATGTTTGATTTTTGCTGCGTCTAGTTGTGTTGACACAGCATTACATGCCGTAATGGGTGATTTAGTTGTGACAGTAGACGAAAGTAGTACTGTATAAGGGCCTTATATCAAGGCTAACGCTACACAAACACACACCGCGCTACGCACCCCTGTACAATATAAACGTCGATTGACCGGCATTCATTGCGGTAAAAAAACTGTGACGTAATAATGTTATAGGTCCATTGCTCATCCTTCTCTCAAAACAGTACGACCTTCATGGCCCAGAATAAACTCATTCTTGTTAACCATGACATACCCTGAAGACAAAAACTTTTAAGTTTTAAAAGTAGCTGCTGTTATCAACAACAGCGCAGTCATGGTAACATCATCAACTGTCCAAGTGACAGGCATCTTGGTGGCTAAAAACATTTTTACTAGTACTAGCATATAACACTGGTAATGGAATGTGTTAGATCTTATGCAAGGGTATTTACATGTATCGAAAAGCTGTACAGTTTGTAACTTACATACAGACATTTCAAGGCTTTGCATGAAAGTTCATCTGTGTTGGTACAAGTCATTATGAAATAAAGACTAAGCTTTACTTCCAACTCTTAGAATTAGATTACAGAATTGGGACTTACCCAAATTTTTGGTTGACTACATCAAGCTTGTTCACGGAATGGACCCGTCTGCATGTACTCTTGGAACGTGACGTCGGAGACATGTGACTATAGTAACGGGTCATACGTGCCAGATAGTCGGACTTCTTTGCAAGAGGAGTAAAGGAGGCGGTTTACATAAGAGCTCACAGATAGACCTACCCTCAACAGAGACGGGGGCGACACAAGTTATAAGGCACGTGCATTTGTATGACCCGCTACTACGGTCACGTATCTCGGACATCACGTTCCAAGAGTAGACGGGTCCATTCCTTGAACAAGCTTGATGGAGTCAACCGAAAATCTAAGTGTTGGAAGTTAAAGCTTTGTCTTTATTTCATGATTTCAAGGCTTTGTTTTACTTCTGACCCTTTCCTAAGATGCGGCCTTGAAGAGGAACGCACAGAAGCTTGCTAAAGCCGAGGCCAGCCGAGCTCAGCAGGCCAAACTGAACAGGAGAATCACCGGCACCTGGGACCTGACTGTCACCAACAAACAGGCCAAAGTCAGTGGGAATAAAGGTTAGTATCCAGCGTGCAAAATACCTGGTTTCCCAGTTGCCCCGGGCAAGCACATTTTACTTGGGGCAACCTATTTTTGAACCTAGGTAGCCCAGTGTGCTACCTGGATTTTAAGGATGCCCCCCACCCCCATCATACCCACTTGGCTTGCACCACTGTATCCGACAGAATGATGCTTTTTAATTTTGGGTATTAATGGCTATTACTAGTATCAGTTAACTAAAGGCTGTTAGAAATGTTGTCAAAGGCTTATGTATGCAACATTACTTAATTTGAGGAAAGTAGTAACTTATAGGTGGGGCAACCTAAAATTCTGATGGGCAACCTAATTTTTGCTGTAGGTTGCCCACTGGCCAACCTGGGTCAAAAAACTATTTTGTACACTGGTATCAGACGTTGTTTTGGACCAAGGAGGTCTTGTGTTCATGATAAATACTAGTACAGTGCAAAATGTATGTGCCTTGTTTTCATGTGCCATATATTGTTGCCAACTTTATCAAGGCTTGCAAAATTTCATAAGGTCATGTTGATTTGATTATATGGATGATGTCCTCTGGGAACCCCAAAACTGATGCGAGTGTGCAAATTAAAAAAAGTTTTGCAAAAGAAAAGTTGCTTTCATCATGAAATTTACGTGGTCATGAAGGTTGAACAAATGACACAGAGTATGGTATGGTGAATTATCTACTCTTCAAATTTGTTTCTTTACAATTTCATCCTTTTGTTTGATTTTTCTCTTCATCATTGGTATCGTTTCAATTTTTTTTCAAGTTACGGTATATATTTCCTCATTTTGCAACTGTTTTGTATGATGTACAGTATGGTTAAAAACTTTTTTTTGAACATGGCCTAAAGTCTGATAAAATGTGTCAGAAATTGAGCTAACACTTGCTGTAGAGATAGTTGGAAGTTCTGCTTGAACTTTACACACATTCTGCATCTTTATATTTGAGGCAATATCAGTGCAGCTCATAGCTACAGACATTTGGTCCTTATAATTAGGGAGAAGGTTGAACGGTAATGATTAGACAATGTCAGCTGTAGGTGATAGAATTTTAGGCCTACAACTATGAAGCTTATAAAGTTTGTGAAAATGACCACACTGATGAGATAGTGGCCTCAACAAAGCAAACAAAACAAGAATTCGTAGATCTCATACCTCCATGAAATATGAGTTTTTGTGAATGTTTTTATTGTAATTATGCAAATTAAGTCCTCATTTGCATAATTAGCATTTGATTATGCACAACTCTCTCTTATTTATTATTATTATTACTACTTATTCCTGACAGGAAAGGCTATCTGTCACCAAAAAGTCAAGACCATAGCATGTTCAGGACAAAAGATACAAAAACCGGAAGTTCTGCTGCAGTACCAAGGTCATCCACCAGTAGGCCCATATTTGACCTTGACCTTCGTCTTCCTAAGACTTACCAGCATACCAAATATCATCACAATCCATAAAGGCGTTATGAAGTTATGCTGACTACAAATGTGCAGAAACACACACACACAGACACACAGATACGCCAAAAACAATACCTCCATTTTTCATGGAGGTAATAAGTCCTGCTATTTGATCAGTGATAGGAAATGTTGTTTTGGGGTACAGGTACACTGGACATCAGTAGAGACGGCTGCGGTGTGGGTTACATCGACTTTCCCTGTTACTATGGAAACCTGGAGTGGTTCGACAAGGAAGCTGCGGAGGGCAAATATATGGAGATCTCCACATCATGGAAAGTGGACTGGAAAAGGTATTTTTGTAATAAAATGAAAGTGATACAAAATTTGTTGACCCATGTAATCATTTCATCATGTTGGTCATTGTCTTCCTAACAGTTACAAGTCAATGAAGAAATCATTGAGTTCAGACTTCTGGGAATTGTTTTGGGTTTTTGTGACCTTCAAGTTCACACCATTTCCTGTGTCCGACCTTTTGAGCTGTCATTCTGCCTGTCAATCTTCTTCCCAAACTGTGTGCTGTGCTTATTGTCTGAGTAAGCAGACATAAAGACTCTGCTTAACCATGTAATATATGTTTACCAAAGGACAACATATTGTTTTTCCTCCATTTCTTCTTCTTCTGTTCCAAACACTAACCTCTGGCCTGGCCAATGGCCTCTTTTGTTGACGTCTGTCACCATAGTAACTGGTGTTGGGTTACATAATGTTGCAATTTCATAGTAGGCATTTAGACTCCTGTCACCATATACTTGTATGTGAATGTGTTTTTGAGTATTAAAGAATTAATAAAGCAGACCATATACGAAGGTAAACATTATGCATTTGCTTTGCAAATGTTACTTTTCTAGTTATGATAATTCGTTTCTATGCAGTATTTCTGACTTTAATGTGTAGTACCTTCAAGCTTCAAGGTGTAGTACAGTCAAACCTGCCAAGGTGACTATCTCTTCAAGCTGACCACCTGGCTATGGTGACCGCTTTTCTTTGGTCCCCTAGGCGTCCGGCTTGGACAGTTAAAGTTAGTTAGTTAAAGAGCCTTCCCGCCTCAAGTGACGCATAGGGCAGCGCCCATCTCCGTTCATTAGCCCTGGGCCACACACAGTAGTCACTACAGCAGGGGGCTAGTCCACTGGTAGTGGTGTGTGTTTAACTCCCATACTCTTTCCCAAATGCTGAGTGCTAAGCAGAGAAAGCAGTATGTACCATTTTTAAAGTCTTTGGTATGACTGGGCCGGAGATCGAACGACCTACCGAATGCAAGGCAAGCACTCTACCCACTTGGCCATTGCACCGGCTTGGACAGGTTTGACTGCAATTTTGTGTTTCAATATGAAAAACTTAAACTTTTCTCCAACTCAAAAGTTGACTCACCAGAAATTTTCGACTGAATCACTCAGTCTTCCTCAGCCTTCTGACCCAAATGCTGTGGACACGTGATTTTTCCCACGTGTGAGTCAGCAAAGGGTCAAAGGTTGTCTGAAGTCGATATCGCCCCCCGTCCCAGTTGAGCGATGGTTGAAGTAGTGCCCTGATGTATATGGCCTCTTTTATGCCTCTCTTGAAGTAATCCTGTTCGGTATCCAAGATTCTGACCCCCTCCAGATCCACTGTGTGTCCCGGTGATTTTTGCTGACGTCACACGTGGGAAAAATCACGTGTCCACAGCATTTGGGTCAAATAGCTGAGGAAGACTGAGTGATTCAGTCGAAAATTTCTGGTGAGTCAAATTTTGAGTTGGAGAAAAGTTTAAGTTTTTCATAATGTAATTTACCAACTCAGATGAACTTTCATGCTTTGTTTTTCAATGTCCTCCAGAAAATACGGCAAGCTGCGAGTGACGGTGAAGAAGGATGAGTCAGGCGATGACTTGGTGGAGGGGACGTTTAACGCGGGTTGGCACCGGAACGGTTGGCCGGCGACGCTGCGCTTCACGGGTGTGAGGAGGGGGACATACGCGGGCGATGCTGAGGGGAACGATGATGATGATAGAGAGACAGATGATGAGCTCTAGACCGATGACATAGTTTTAACTCTCGGCTACAGGAACATTTCTCACAGTTTTAGATTGTTTTATAACCCTCTACACAACTCTACACTTCACAGGCATGAGGAGGAGACTGTACATGGTTGATACTGAGGGGAATGATGATGATGATAGAGAGACAGATGATGAAGAGCTCTAGACCGATGACAAAGTTTAAACTCTCGGCTACAGGAACACTTACTCTTCCCACAGTGATGTGTGACTGTTTGCTTGTTCCATTTCTTTCCCATTCTGTTCTGGTTCTAGTTGTGTCTTATGTTGTTTTTTTAACCTACCAAACTAAACTACTGTTTACCATTACTACTATTTTATGACATACATGTATGCATGGAGATGAAATTTAACAACTTGATGTTGTTTCAGCAGTTTGAGTCCTATGATAGACTTCTTGCTGACTTTGTTTTTGTACACATTTTCTCCATTGAAATGTTGTGCAGTATACATTATACCGACCATGCCAGTACAATGTATATATCTTTCTTATTGTTGTATGTAGATAGCTGTTTCTAGCTTCTCAAGTCAGTTTAGACATAACAAAGAAAAATACATGAACACAAAGGGTGGTGTATACATTCTGCATTCTGTCATCTTTTGAGAATATTAGGATACAGAACCAATATTACTACTTAAAAAATACATGTATATGTAGTTCTCCAGCAATGCAGGTAGCATGGCACACAGTACCAGTACAGTAGTCACAAATCTAACCTGGAATGTAAATGGTCTGCAACATTTGAATTGCTAGCAGTAACAGTATACTATTAGACAATTTGACTACGGAATGATATAGTTAAATACATTATCATACCATATTAGAATAAAACGGTAACTACGGTGGGGTCGTGTGGTGCAACGGCAGCGTGCACGACTCAGAATCAAGAGGTCCGGGGTTCGAGTCCTGACATGCCACTGACCTTGTGCCCCTGGGAAAGGCACTTAACATTCCCCACTAGAATCAAGTGAAAATGAGTATTGTCTGTCCAGTATTCATTTCTATGTGCGGGACACAACACCAGCAACAGCTGTCTCTCCTCCGGGTGTATTGCATTGTTGCAATTTCAATAAAATAAAATTAATGATTTGTACATAAAACAATGTACTCCCTGTACAGAAGCCTTCTGATGGCTTTCAGTGGTCTTCCATCAGTAAACATGCTGCATCCTGCAGGTGATCTAGACGAAATGCCCACTGGCTGGGGCTGAATGGAGCTCTTCTTCAGTCAAACCTGTCCAAGTCGGCCATGCAGGGGACCAAAGAAAAGTGGCCATCTTGGACAGGTGGTCTTCTTAAAGAGGGTCTCCTCACAACATGACTGAGGCATAAATGGTTTCCAAGTCCAGATATTCTAATGTCAAATGCTGTAAATGTATGTGGGGAGGGTGGCACATGGACCAATTTACCTCAAACAAACACATCATCCAGCAGTCAAGGAAAACTGGCTGCTGGTTTCTCCATGATTTCTCATTAATTATCATCAATAACCAACATGAAAGAAAACGATGTGGTCACCATGGGCAGGTATTAGGCCTTGAGCGGACCTAACTCAGGGCGGTCACGTTGGCCATGTGGTCACCTTGGACAGGTTGCTTAATGCTTATGTCAATGGGGAATTTTTTGGGACTGAGAAAAACCGGTCACCATGGACTGCGTGTGGTTCAGGGTCTAGTTTGTAGAACAACCAACAGCTCAGGCTCATCGGGTCATCCGCCTCTAAATCTGCCGCAGACTTGTATCAGTCTGCTGCATCCTTTTCTAGCGGTACAATGAAACGCCAATGGCAAATTCCCCTGATCATTGACTCAGTTTTTGCTGAATAGCCTTCCCTACACCTGCTGCAGCCTTCGATGGTCAACCTTCCCTAAAGCCTTGGTCACAACCCGCCGTACGTGCTTTTTGTCCGTACGTTTTTGAGAGGCCACGTCTGCTACGTTTTTCTGTAAACGTGGGGAAGAAGTGGCGTCAACGCACGTCACTCGCATGGTTGCGCAAGGTGTTAGAGTGTGGTCTGCACGCCACGTCTGGACGTGAGCGGTTGCGTACATCGTTCGTTGCGCAAGTGGTGACTTGTACGTGCTTGCAACGTACGATCTCTGTGCGATTGCAACTTTACCGTACTCACACGTGTGTCTTCCGTACGGTACGTACGGGGCACGCGCGTCGCTCGTACTCGCACGCAAGGGTGGTGAATCCGCAGACCGCACGCAGAAAAAAAGTTACATGCACTTAACGTTCTACGGCATGTCTGCGTGCTCCCGAATCCGTAGGATTGCGAACGGAGGCGGTACTCACCACGCACGGATGCCCTGCGTTTGCCCACGCTTTTGCACGTAGACAGCACGCAGAAGCACGTACGGCGGGTTGTGACCAAGGCTTTACTGCATGATGGGGGTTGAGCTGCTGGGCAAACCGTTTCATGATATTGGGACCTCTGATTGATGGATCGTAGTGATTTTTGGTATGTAGGTAGCTTAGGTGATGCTTGACATAATGATAAAAATGGATGTAATTTGCATAATTTATGAGGGAACTATAAATCAGCTGTATCCCATGATACGACTACTAGTATTCAAGCTTCTGACGTAATTAAGAACGAGAGAAACACAGGCAGATATCGATTATGCAAAAGAAGACTTAATTTGCATAATTAAGGAGAAATGTTATGATTCCAAAATGGTAACTGCCTGGAATTCCATACTTGGGGTATTTGAAAGTTAAGTGAAGGTGAACATAATTAAACATAACTTATTCAAATAAGGACCTCATTTGCATAATATATGAGGAAATGCTATAATGGCATTGTTTGTTAAGACTCTTTTGGTGTAGAATTTGATCAACAGATATAATTCATGCAATTGATCCTATTTGCATATTCAAGGAGATTGGTATATAATTTCTGAGTCATAAAGGCTAACATCATTTGGCGAAGGTATGAGATCGTGGAACTCTAGTTAGGACATAGGGCGTTTTTCCTAAACTATCAAGATCCATCCGCTGTATTGTATGGAACGTTCCTCCGATGGACAGTTTCCACACGACAACATGATTTTTTCACTGTCTATCTAGAACTAAATTCTTAGATTTTCTCCTTTCTGTAACTGGTAGCTTTTAGTATATACGACAGACTGACATGATGTAATAAAAATGTATCTTTATTTTCAACACAATAATACAAAGAGATAAAATGACAGGTCTCAGTAAAATATCGCTGTACATTAAGTTGAAATTTAAAAATGTGCACATTAAGATGTAATAGAAAGAGACTACATAATCCGGACAAGCAACTCTAAATGATAAAATCATAAGTTATAACGAAATATGTGAGGAGTCATTACATGAGGAAATGGAGGCGTACGAATACTACCAATGCAGCCCGTGATTTGAGCTCGTAGAAAAAGGGAGTCACATGTGCCTACCATTTGAATCTTTTTTTCATTTATGCTGTGAGAGTCAAACAACCAAATTGATGCTTATTGCACAATTACTATTAAAGATAAAATGTATGCATTAATAACAAGTCTAAAAGTTACGTACTTCTGTATGTAGGAATCTACTTTTATTATTAGTTACTCTATCAGAAAATTGTTAAAAGAAAAACATTGCATTGACACTCCACTATAATTCAACAAAATTTTCTACATGAGATGGAACGCTCCGTCCACAGGTATGGCCACGCCGGTGATGAAGGACGCCTTCTCCGAGCAGAGGAACGCGATGACGCCACCGACTTCCCTCGGGGTGCCCCAGCGCTTCATCCCGCACAGCCGGTTCACCATACCCGCCATCCCGGCGGTCCCGACCCGCTCCTTGACCGGTGCCCAGGCTTCTGTGTCGATCATTCCCGGGATGACGGTGTTACAGGTGATCCGCCTGGGCGCCAGCTGCTTGGCGTAGTTCCTCACCATGTACTCCATGCTGGATTTGGCCATGCCCGGGGTGAAGTAAGGCAGGCTCGGGGTTGTGTTGCTGTTGCAGCCGACTCCGGACACGGCGACGATGTACCCGCGGCCGTCCTCCATGTGAGTGACGGCCTTTTCCACCAGCCGGAGGAAGCACCTCGGGTAGACGTTTTGGTAGTATTCGTACGCCTCCCAGCCTGTGAACCAGCTCCCGTTAGCATCAGGCTTAGAGGGCAGCCCGTGAGGGCCGTACATACTGCCGGCGTTGTGGACCAGCGCTGTCAGCTTCCCGCCAAAGTTATCATCGACGCAGGCGAAGTAGGCGTCCACGGTGGCCTGTTCCTCCGCCGCTCCTGCCACCAGGAACACGCGCACCTTGTACGTCTCCTCCAGCTTGGCCTTAGCGCCTGCAGCCCGCTGATGGTTCTCCTTGTACCCCAGGATGAGGTTGTATCCTGCGCCGGCCAGCTCCTGGGCTGTCCCGTAGCCGATCCCGCGGGTCCCTCCGGTGACGAGAGCGACCATTTCAGAACTCATGTTGGGGAAGGTTAGGAGCAGAAGCCGAGAAGAAACTGTTGTGACTGCACAGTACTTTTCCTTCTGAAACAAAAGCAAATAATAAAAGTCTAGTCAGTCTTGGTGACCACTGTTTCACTGATAATCTTTGACGTTATGTTGTCGGTGCAAGGGCGGACTCAGTGTTTTGTCCAGTAAGAGTTGAGGCATCCAATGAAATGGGCTATTCCAAAAAATAAAGGAGAATGGGAGGCGGAAGAGGTCGGACTGGACAGGGAGGTGGGTCAAATACCTTGACTGGACAGGGGGGTTCGGTCAAATACCTGGACTGGACAGGGGGGTTGGGTCAAACAGATCTCGAACGGACAGGGGGGTTGGGTCAAACAGATCTGGAACGGACAGGGGGGTTGGGTCAAACAGATCTCGAACGGACAGGGGGGTTGGGTCAAACAGATCTGGAACGGACAGGGGGGTTGGGTCAAACAGATCTGGAACGGACAGGGGGCGGGTCAGGAAAATCAAGACTGGAGGTGTGATGAGTGTTCTCAGGGTGCTGTCTAAGTGTATAATTTGTCTGAAGGTCAAAGAATGTAACTGAAACAAGCATTTTGCTGTTTCTTAGTGCTGTTTTTATGCTGAATGTACAGTACCAAAAGGTTTCGACACATTGCATTATGTAACTTTATTTGGTTTGCATGTCTATGAAAATGATTTAGTATAATTTGCATTAAGTTAACTTGCTTTGAAAAGGATGTGTGTGCTTATTTAGTGTACATATAGCATTTGAATTTTCAATGATAATTATACACATATGAGCAACTTATCGAGGCTGATTGAAGACGCAACATATAATTTCAACAGCAATTGTTTATTCCATTTGATTTTCGGGTATACTGTGTACATGCAGTATAGATAAACTTTGTTCTAGACACACAAAAATCAACTCATCGAATTTTCAACTAATCCCACTGCACCTCTTTTCCTCTTTCTCAGAATTCAAGCGACCAAACGGCTCTATCACAACTTAAGTCAGCATTCATCAGTGCCAGGAAGTTTATGCTCTCTCATGAAGTCCTCAGTTACAAGTCCAAAGAGATGTAGGACTCCCAGGTAATAAGGGCTCATTCTGCTCTGGTGAGGAATGTGGTAGAATATTCTTTCAGGATGTTGTCCCAAACAGGTGCTTCAATACGTTGTTGGGAAGCGATGATCGCGTGGCTGCTGCAGTTCTGACATCCCCATCCATGATATGACACATTGAGGAAAAATGTCACCCCCAATGTCATTTTTGTTAATTTGCCAAACAATCTGCCCGCCGCACGTGTCACTCCCCCTTCCGGTCAGTCCCTTCTCACTTCCGCCAACCACGGCCCGGACACATGTGCTCCCGCCGTCACCCCGCACAATCGGACAGAGTTAGGCGAGGACGCGCACGTGGCCTCGCTCTCCCCTCTATTCTCAGTTTTTCGTTTCTTTATTCACGTTTGCGGTTTGCGATGACTAAACCGAAAGCCTGTACAGTCTGCAGGCTGCCAGTGAAGGGGCATGATGGTCCTTACGGCCCCGGGAAGTGCGGCGTGACCCTCTCGTCACCACCAGACGCCTCGGACAGCGACGCGGACAGGCGCCGTGCTGACAGGGCCCGGCGGTCTCTGCAGAAGCTCCGGCGGGAGAGCCGAATCAAAGACCTGGCGAAGGGTCTCTGGTCAGAGGCGAGTGACGGGGAACAGGCAACTGTACGTGACCTCCGTGAAGACAAGGTCTTGGCCAGACGTGTCGAGCAGACTTTGGACGAGATCTTCGACAAAAAGAAATCGCCAGCGTCATCCAAGAAAAAGGTCCGGATACCGTCAGACGACGACAACCTCTCGAGGTCGAGCTCTTCTTCTCCGGTGGCACACAAGTCTCGCCGCCCCCTCGTAACCTCCTCGTCGGAAGACAGAGCGAAGTCCCGTCGCCACAGTTCCCGGCACCGCGTCTATTCCAGGTGCCTTAATTGTAGCTCCATCTTGTTGCCTGGTTGTTGACTTGTTGTTGTATGAATGAGTGGCCTTTGGCGTTATGCCTGTGACCAACTTGTCGCAAGCCCACCGAGCTCGAGGATTTCCCAGTTCTTGTGAGCTTGTGTAATCTTTGTCTCTCAGTCTCCTTGTCTGGTGGGATGGTTATACTGGACACTTTGCTGACATCATGTGTGACCATTTAAAGGCCACATGGTCCAGTTATTTGATTGCTTGAATTCTGAGAAAGACTGTAGTTGGACAGTCAAAGCTTCAATGCACTAATTCCTTTGTGCTGGAACTGGGTACTACTAGTATAATGATAAATACCAGTACAGACAATCTTTGGTGCCAACAAGATATGTACATTTACTATATGATTTAATAGCCTAGTGACGCAACTTGTACACAATGTCAAAAGTACACAAAGTATACAAACTTAAGTTTGGGTCATACATCCGTTGCTGCTTTATATATAAATAAATAAATAAATATATATGAATAGATAAATAAATAATACATTTATATATAAACAACATGATAATTTGGCATACAAGTTCAGACAATGAAGAAAACAATCTTAATGACATACTTTACAGCAACTTCCATAAGAACAATATGATAGTTACAGCAATACTATTATTATCTATCAAATATCTAAAGAAATACTGGCTTCAAAAGTTCCAATTTACCTTTTGCCAGCCATACCACTACCTCAATTGAATATATACAGTCAGGTTCCTCATCATACATTACTTCTATTTCATCCGAATCTTCCCATGCATTTTGAACTTCTGCTACATACCATCCAGGAGACCCCCCACTTAGCCCAACTTCTTCAACTGACCATTTAACTTGAACTCTAGCCCCTGGGTCTAAACTCTGGAAATACATTTCATATGATATGTGCCCACTATCTCCTGTATCTAAGCTACTTGAGGACCTGGTGTTAGTTGTGTATTGTTTAGGTTTCATTGCATCTATATAATTACTTAAGCTATCAAACAGATTTGGTAGTCTATCTAATGGGTCTGCTCCTGTCAAGCAGTCAGCTTTTATGATGGACTTGCATATTGGTATAACATTTGAAAGCAGCTGCACTCTTGCGAGGGCATTTTTCGGACAGTTTAGAAGAATTTTGAGAGAAATGTTCCCGCTCGGTCGAAGTGAATTTGCCATCTACAGTATATAGGTCAATTTGTGCCAAAATAAGTTTTTTTGTTATTCTTATCAGTTTTTTTAAGCTGGTTATTTCCAAGTCGGGTATAAGATGGGCCTGTGCGCGTTTCAGCAACATAATACTTGTAACAAGCTCATCCCTTGGGCCACCATAGTGGTGACCTTCAGTTTTTAACACGTCCCTAAGATAACATAATGGCATTTTTGTCAGAGAATTTATTGACTTTGGTACATTTTTAAGTGTCCATCATATAAGCTACTGGTTTCTGTTGGTTCATTTATACCCATATTTTTTGCTATATAATCGTTCTACTAATTCTGCCTTTTTTGCTCCTTTAACTGGAATGTCAAGCTTATTCCTACCTAGTAGAATCCTAGATTTGATGTACATATAGAATACAACACGGGGTATTCCGCATCGCCCTCGGTCCCGGCCCTCCCGCGAGTCTGATCGCCCTCCGGCCTGCGGCCGTCGGGCGATCCGACCCGCGGTCGGCCGATACCTCGGGCGATACGGAATACCCCGTGTTGTATTCTATATGTACATCAAATCTAGGATTCTACTAGGTAGGAATAAACCCGAGATCTCATCCCACTCACCAGGCGGTAACTTTTTCCTTTTTTCATATGACATATACTAGTAGTGTACTTCGCCACCAGTCACGAGCCATCGGACATAATCAGGCAATGGTTCTCTTTCGAATCTCTCTTTATTACTAGTATCGTTACTGATCCAATTATTATCAGGCCTATAGATTGCTGTAGTATATTTATTTAGCCAGGATGTTCTTTCTGGGCCAGACTCGTTGCGGAGTACACTATAGTCTTCGCTGTAAGTTGCTACATAGTTTTCATCAGCTTCCCATGTATGAACAAGACAATCAAATATTCCATTTTTAATAGGTTTATATTCATTTTCACAACACTGTTTGTTTATGTCATTAAGGGTTAAAAAGTGTTTTAAATTTGCCTCATCATTGAACACATATTCGTTGTCTTTTATTCAACGAATATAAAACAAATTTAAAAAGTGTTTTAAATTTGCCTCATCATTGAACACATATTCGTTGTCTTTTATTCCTCTAAAGCACTGCAGTGGGGTAGCATTAAATTTTGCTGTTCTAAAGGTTTCTATAACTTCTTTTGCCATGGTCTCCATGTTTTTATAATAATCTGTAGAATAAACTTCTGCATCTTTAGGACAAATAATTTTGATTCAGTCACTTTATTTTCTACTGCATGCACTCTTTCTCCATAATTTCGTTTACTATGGTATTTTGCAAATGATTTATGGACAACTTTGTCTATGTTAAGAAACTTTACCAGCCTAATATCCCGCATCTGGCACAGCTCACTTGCTGGTGCTTCCGCAGGCCCATTATTGACAAGAAATGTAAACATTGACTTCAATAAACCAGTTTTAGGATTCCTGACAAATTTATCTAAACCTGGGATTCTCATTGACAGAAACAATTCATTATAAGCTCTAAAAGTTGTGCTGGGTTCTGTTGCTGACAGATTGATTGATGTTACTGCTGACCCTGATCTTGAGATGTGCAAAACTGTTTCTTCTGTAATCGGCATGTCTATGTTGTTCAGAGAATGTTCTAATATTCATTTCTTTACTAATTTTGTTTCTACAAACAAATGTGTCATAGGCGTTACGGCGTATGTGCGGCTTTGATCCCAGTTATGATCAGGAAGAACTAGATCCGACCTCCAAGTTTTACCTGTCCTAGTGTTGGCTATGTTAGCGACTATCATTTTTTTATAGCATCTTTTGAATCTATCATGTATTCTGCTGGATTTTCTGCTGCTAGATCTGCATGGAAATTGGCATTTGAAGTGGCCCAATGTAAATTAACAAATTGCGGTACTCCTACCCTAGATGGTGCATGGAGTGATACACAAGCGTTTTTAGTCCCTTTTGATTCTGTTTTCCCAATAACCTCTTGCAGACAAAATTCTTACTGCTAGAAATGCATAAAATACCCTTCGCAAGGTCCCTGTCGTGTTTTGAAGACATACTTTTTAAAGCAATCGGCAATGTTTCTTTGAGCTTACTTTGAGCATGAGGAAATCTGTCTAATAATGACTTTTATTTCCATTTCCTAGCACATCTTTATTATCATTTCATACGTGAAGTGTTTGAAATAGTCCCAAAACAAACGTTATTTTTTTGGCACCACCAAATAATACTAGTAGCTAGAACTAGCCTACGATACGAAACAATACAAACTTCCGTCAGCACATTTTTGCCTGGCAGATATCAGTATGCTATGGGATAGGGTTGCTTCAAACAAAGAATATCACTAACTTACTTCTACATTGTACTTAGAAAATTGACTTTAAACATCCAGGTTTACTGCCCTGAAACTGCTCCTTTTGTGCCTTTATAATTAGCTATTATATATAATAGCAAAACAGGATTATTAGAGTAACTAAAAATCTTTAAAAAACACCATTTTGTGTCGGAACATGTCTGAACACAGTCCAACTGTACAGCGGTTTGTTGGCCAAATACACAGGCCAAACGATGTGTACATACAGTACGGCGTTTGGTCATATCCCAAGCTAGCTTGTCTATCCGTGAAAGAATAGGAAGTACCAACTGTTGCAAGCTTACCTTGGTTACAAAGGACGCTCCAACTGTAAAGGCGAGAGGGACGGGAGGACAGGTGTGGACGACTAATGCAGTTCAGCTGTCAATATGCCATAGCTGGGGCAGGTGTCCAATGTGTTAATCCAATTACAGCCCAGCAACCAATCAGCAAGAAGATTACAACCGCCTAACATCTCGAAAGCTCGAAAGATGGAAATCGGACACCTGTATCCGGCTCTATATCTTTTATACGCAAGAAAACATTTACCAAGCAGCTGTAGATAGAATTTGAAAACTTTCAGACGTTACAAACAGACACTACGTTTCGTCAGTAACTAACGGAATCTGTAGTTGAACAAGTATTTATCCAAAAACTATGAATTGATATGTAAATGAGGTAAAGACAACTCTTAGACAGTCCATATGAACAAAGAAAAAAAAGCCAAAGCTAAGGCAATGTTGGTGCCAAAATGAGGCCGTTAGATCCTGTTGTTCCAGTACAGTAATTGTCACTGGCGAAAATTAGTGGGTGCTACGTGAAACGTCTGACAGTTTTCAAATTTTATCAAGTTGTTTGAGTAATTGTTTTCTTGTTTACCGCATTAGTGAATGCCTAACCTTCATCGATAGTAGACTATTAAGTTACTATCCCTTTGCTTTTTGTACTCTATCTTCTCTCTATAAACAAGTCATCAGAACTTGGTTGTTCAAAGCGCTGGGCGACGGCAAATAGTATAAAACTAATCTGTTTTTTTGCATTACGACGCATGCGCGTCGAAATGCCCTGTAGCGAGTCAAACATTCGGCGTTACAAGGAGGCAACCATGGAGGCAACCAAGGAGGCAAAAGGGCGACAACGGGACATTCTGCCTGCCATGTTTGCCATTCTAGTACATGTCGCTAGGTGACGTTGTTTATACGTAAAGTTCATGCCGCATGCCGCCACCATGTTCATCATCTGTTCAAACTGCACAAATATCGGCAACAGAAAAATGACTAGTCCATTTTAGCGATATTTACCATGAAAATAACTTATGTGGTTTATATTTCCTCTGATGTGAGTCCCAAACCTCTTAAAAAGCAGAAATTTGCCCACGAAATATGACGGGCGAGGCGTGGGGAGGGCGCTGTTGACGCCTGCAGGACCCCCAAAAGGTCGAAGGTCATAGGACACGTCCATTGCGTAATCACCTTAAATTGCCGATTTTGCTTATTGCCGATTTAGCTTATCTTTAATAGGGGATTGAAATTGATACAATAAATTACATTATCGATTTTTAGGCAAACAAAGGGATAGAAACCAATCCAAAAGTTGTGCAGATTATTTTGTTTTCTTCAGAAGTTCTTTTTTTTTCAATTCAGAATGCAACAGGGTTTTCTTTAATGCTTTCACAAATACAAAAACAATATCCAGCTTGCTTTCTGTCATCTGTAAAATCTCTACCACACTTTTGCTGTTTTCTTAAATGACACTGAAGACGAAACTCAAATCAAAATATCTGCTCTACATGTACATCTCCGTAGCCTATTCATATCTAGGGTGGCACATGTACAGCATCATCTCAAAGTAGATGTAGAGGAACATATCTATAATCATTTCCAAGCACGTAGGGTGGTAAATGTAAGAGTTATCTCCAAGCAGATGTTGGTGGCATCCATGATCTGACTATTGTCATCTTCAAGCAGATGTAGAGTGGCATAAAGTTATATCCAAGCAGATGCAAGGTTGCATATGTAACAGGAACCACCATCACATCGATAGAGCGTCGAAATGCCAGCTTTTTGTGAAAGCACTTGTTTAACATGCACATGTAATTACCTCCATGAAAAATGGAGGTATTGTTTTTGGTGTGTCTGTCTGTATGTATGTCTGTCTGTCTGTGTGTCTGTCTGTGTTTCCGCAACTTTGTGGTCAGCATAACTTCAGAACGCCTTTATGGATTTTGATGATATTTGGTATGTTGGTAAGTCTTAGGAAGACAAACGTCAAGGTCAAATATGGGCCTCCTGGTGTATGACCTTGGTACTGCAGCAGAACTTCCGGTTTTTGTATCTTTTGTCCTGAACATGCTATGGTCTTGATGTTTTGGTGACAGATTGCTTTTCCTGTCAGGAATAAGTGATGTGAGTTTGGTCCCCCTAGCAGCTTGTTCTGGAACTGCAGGGCACTTTCTGGCGAAATGTTTAAAAGCCAATAAGTCCAGATAGGAACAACATATTTTCATTATTTTTGGTGTGTAGGTAGCTGAGAGAGAGAGATGTACATGATTAAATGCAAATTATGAAAATGAGGACTTTATTTGCATAATTAATGAGGAAATTCTATGATTACAGTGTTTTACATTATACTACTTTCATACATGTAATGCATATAAGCTATGGCAGGCAGAACATCAACAGATACTAATTATGCAAATGATGACCTAATTTGCATAATTTATGAAAAAATTCTATGATTTCTTAATGGTGAATAATGGGAATGTCATACTTGGGACATCTGTAAGTTAATCAAAAGTTAACATACATCACGATGCATATATCATGTTAATGCGGAGGTAATTTGCATAATTAAAGAGGAAATTTACATTTACATATCAAGCCTATATTTCATGGAGGTATGATATCTCGGAATTCTTGTTATATTGTTTAAATTGCGTCTGCCCCACCCACAGAAAATGACTGAAATGACGCGAACGGTTGTCTCTAAGGGCGTCGTCATTACCTCCATGAAAAATGGAGGTATTGTTTTTGGCGTGTCTGTCTGTATGTCTGTCTGTCTGTCTGTCTGTCTGTGTGTGTGTGTGTTTCCGCAACATTGTGGTCAGCATAACTTCAGAACGCCTTTATGGATTGTGATGATATTTGGTTTGTTGGTAATTCTTGGAAAGACAAAGGTCAAGGTCAAATATGGGCCTCCTGGTGAATGACCTTGGTACTGCAGCAGAATTTCCAGTTTTTGTATCTTTTGTCCTGAACATGCTATGGTCTTGACTTTTTGGTGACAGATAGCTTTTCCTGTCAGAAATACGTGGTGTGAGTTTGGTCCCCCTAGCAGCTTGTTCTGGAACTGCTGTGGACTTTCTGGCGAAACCTTTAAAAGCGAATAAGTCCAGATACGAACAACGTATTTGCATAATTTTTTGGTGTGTAGGTAGCTGAGAGTTGTACATAATTAAATACAAATTATGCAAATGAGGACCTAATTTGCATAATTATTGAGGACATGTTTTTGGCTTGTCTGTCTGCAGCAGAATTTCCGGTTTTTGTATCTTTTGTCCTGAACATGCTACGGTCTTTATTTTTTGGTGACAGATAGCTTATCCTGTCAGGAATAAGTTTGGTCTCCCTAGAAGCTTGTTCTGTACTGCGGGCTATTTTCTGTTTAAAACTTTTAAAGATAATAAGTCTAGATAGGAACAACGTATTTTCATCATTTTGGTATGTAGGTAGCTGAGAGAGAGCTATGCAAATTCTGCAAATGAAGACTTATTTTGCATAATTAATGAGGAAATTCTATAATTACAGTATTTTATATAATAGTACTGCTATACATGTAATTTATTTAATTGTGGCGGACAAAACACCAACAGATAACAATTATGCAAATGATGACCTAATTTGCATAATTAATTTGCATAACATTTTGTGGCTCCTTATTGGTGCATAATGGGAAATTTATACCTTGTGCCATGTGTACGTTACACCACTATGCATATATTTTATGTTAGTGTAGAGGTCATTTGCAGAATTAATGAGGACATGTCATTTACAAATACTCATATTTCATGGAGGTATGATATCTACGAATTCTTGTTATATTTCAGTTCATACCATGGTATGGATGAAATATATTGTGTTCTCTCATGTTTCTCCTCCTCCTCCTGCCAAACAAAGGGATTCAACTCCGCCATCATTCAGCCAAATGACTTGAAATTTGGCATGGAGGTAGAGTGGGCCAATACCCCCAGGCGTTTTTTTTTTCATTTTTTTGATACATGCCTTTGAAAAATTTTTATGATGGTTTTTGGGGCATTTTTCGACAAAAAAATGAATTTTTGGATCCTGATCCCTGGTATTACAACCAAATGATCTGAAATTCGGTATAAGGGTTTTCTAAATTCAAATGACAATATTTTTCGTGTGAAATTCCTTTCCTTTGTTATACTTAATTTCAACATGTAAACAAATGATTTGGAATGGCCACCTTTATGTAGAAAGTTTATACAGTCTATAAATTCATCATTACACCCTTTATATGTATTTCAGTATCTCAGTAAACAATATTCGTCATTCAGAACGGCCTATTACTCGTATATGTAGAAAACCAGACAGACATGCAGTTTGTGGTAAGTAATAACCATTTATTAGCTAAGACAGTAGCAAGTTCCCACACGCAACTATCATGCCAGCAATGTAGCGAAGAAAAATAAATTTAAAATGAAACCATCACATCTTGCTAATATAAGTTATTAACATAATACTAGACTTAATTAATGGATTCATGATTTAAGATAGATATTGAATATATGTTTATCTTTAGTCTATATTTAATTCCGTAACTCACCATCACATCTTGATATTATTCTAAGTTATTAAATTCAATAATACAAGACTTAATGGATACATCATTTAAGATAATATTGAATATATGTTTATCTTTAGTCTATTTAATTTCGTAACAGATAATCACATCTTGGTATTATATAATATTGAATATATGCATCTCTATATAGTGTATTTCATGTCGTAATATCCCAACTGAAGTAAGGTGTTTTACTAAATGTCCCTAATAGAGGTCATGTAGAGGTGATTTTTAAAATTAACATGTTGATGCCATTTTAAAGATATGGGTGGTTAATATTATTAATGAGCACTTATAGGAATTGAAGAAATGCAAGCATTATAATATATAATTATAATATATATATTATAATTACTCAATTACTCGAGTAAACCACTGTCAATGAACCTCCGCCGCGTTGAAATGTGCTAAACGCTTACTGGAGGTAGCAAATGACCAGTGTAACCATTTCTGACATTCCCGGATATCTGGCAGCCTTGGAAAGACTACGGAAAGCATGAAAAGGATCTATAAGCATGAACTGACCAGAACGGGAGAGCGCCAGAATTTTAAACTGGTCGTATTTTCATTTCAGTGCGTTTTAGAGAATCGTGGTATTGTTTCCATGCCTTCCAGTTGACGCCATCAGCAAAGCTCTCGTGAAAGCCCAGAAGGTACTGGCCGTTGAGATTAGAGTGGTGACAACCTCTGTACCACCAGGCACCCTTGTATGTCTGGGCGCAATTGTAGGGGTAATTGTCGTTATCCTTGGTGCTGAACCCCATTCCGTTTTGGTATGCCAAGCTGTCTCCTACAACGTTAACAAAGAACATTCTTTTAATCACTACAGCAAACAATACTTCTGAACAGAATGGCTTTTCGCTTCAAGACAAAGATGACAAAACAAAAATAACCAAAAACTCATGACAGCAGTTTGAGTAGGCTTTGACCACGTGTGCATATAAAAAGAGTTGGTATTTCTAGTAGGATCCGGATGAACAAAACCTAATATGTGTCTTCAAGTCTTGACCACATATCTAAGATCATGACAACATATCTAAGTGTAAAAATAAAAGGACCCACCTGCAGTTCCACTGTACCCTCCAACGGTGATCCTGTACCTATCAGACTCGTCTGCGATGCTGAAGCTGCTGTAAGCCGCGTAGGCCGTGTCCCCGGCAGTATCCTCCATGTCCACCCGCAACCCGTAGGCCTTCTGCTCCGTCAGACGGTGCAGTTTGTCGTTTCCCAACCAGAACTCACCGTTCAGGTCGGAGGGGAAGCCAGTCTTGTAGTCCTCCCAAACCCGGTAGAAGTCGACACTACCGTCCTGTCGCTTCTGAAACACCTTGAAATATCACAGTGGACACACTGATTACGATTGGGTGTTTGCAGTCATGTGGCAATGACGCGATTTGGTGTCCACCATTTTGGTGGGATGAATTTGTATGTAAAGTCATAACATGAGAACTGTTTCACACATCTTATTTTCAAGTATCCCAACATATTCCTAATTTACACTCTGATTATTTTGAGAGTATGCAAGCAGCGGTCAGTCAAATTTGGAAGTTGGAAAACAGTTTGATTTTAACTATGAAATTTACCAACTCGCATGAACTTTTATGCTGATACTGGAGACACGTGGGATCCAAGACTTACCGTCCAGCCACCACCATCGGTGTCCATGTCACAGTACACCTGGAATCCCCCAAGGTTATCCGCCGGATAGATCATGTACACACCGCTGGGGGTGGTCGCACTGTTATCAAGAATTTCTTTGCAGTCTTTGCAGTCTTTGCAGGTTTCTGCAAGCGGTAGGTCAATGATTTTTGAGTACATTGGAAAGCTGTTGGGGCTTGGGGCAAACGGTGTAACTTTGGGCCTCTTAGCAGCTTAGTTTGAACTGTTGTGGCCTTTTTTCTCTTTTCCTCCATGAAAAATAGAGGTATTGTTTTTGGCGTGTCTGTGTGTCCGTCTGTCTGTCTGTGTGTGTGTGTGTGTGTGTTTGTGTTTCTGCACATTTGTAGTCAGCATAACTTCAGAACATCTTTATGGATTGTGATGATATTTGGTACGTTGCTAGGTCTTAGAAAGACAAAGGTCAAGGTCAAAAACGGGCCTCCTGGTGGCTGACCTTGGTACTGCAGCAGAAATTCCAGTTTTTGTATCTTTTGCCCTGAACATGCTATGGTCTTGGATTTTTGGTCTTTTCCTGTCAGAAATAAGTGGTGTAAATTTTGTTCGACTGGCAGCTTGTTCTGGAACTGTAGGTTAGTTTCTGGTAAAAACTTTTAAAGCGGATAAGTCAAGAAAGGAACAACGTATTTTCATCATTAAAAACATAATTAAATGCAAATCATGCAAATCAAGGCTAAATTTGCATAATCAATAGGACATTCTGTAATTACAGTGTTTTACATGATAGTACTTTCATACATCCGATGTATGTAATCTATGGCCAGTGAAACATCAACAGATACCAATTATGGAAATAATGACCTAATTTGCATAATCAATGTGAAAATTTTGCAATTTATGAATGGTGAGTGATGGGATTTTTATACCTTGTAACATGTGTAAGATATATTAACATGATATATGCATAGTGATGTAAAAACATCACTATGCATATATCATGTTAATGTATTATTTGCATAATCAATGAGGACATGTTGAAATGAAATATTGCCAAAGAATAGGAATTCCTCACGCAAAATATTGTAATTTGAGTTTAGAAAACCATAAATTAAACTGTTAATTGCAACCTTCTTTCCATATACAATGAGACAAATCCCCCCAATATCAATTTTACATTAACATATGTAAAAAACATCTACGTATTTCATGGAGGTATGAGATCTCCGAATTCATGTTACCTTTTGAAGCTTGTAAGTCAGGAAGTTGTGTATGCATTTTTGACAAGTATGTGATGATTAACATGTAAATATGTATTTTTTACTCAACACCACCTCTTATCCTGATTACCCAAACACCAAGTGAAAATAAAAATCCTCCAACCGTTCCATTTCAATTTTATCGATTTGTATTGTACTTACATGTATATTGTATTGCTTCTGTATTGATTGAATTTGTATGTACTTTGTATGTATATTGCTATAAATTTGTATAATAATATTGAATTGAATTTGTACGTATACTAAGTAATATTGTACATGTATTTTGATATGCCTTGTATTTATGCCTTGTATTTATGTGTCAGTGGTAGCCGCTACCAGCCTTGTTGCTGCCTGGTTGCCACTTGTTATGCACTGTTGCATTTGAATAAGCAAACAAACAAACGTTTAATTGATAGATTGGAATAACGTTATGTATAATACCATAACCATGGCAATGTAAAAAGAGTCGTTTTTTGTCCCTAGAACCGTGTTAAGTAGTTTTTTTTTTTTGTTTCACCCACAGGTAGCTGGCCGATAACTTTGATGTGACAAAGATTTGACACTTTTCCCTATAGACATCTGGGCCAAGATGCGAGTGAAATGTATTCATCTGGACAGTTTATAATAGCCATTTTCCTCAGTCTGCTGAATTGTGATGACCCCAGTATGACTTTGTAAAAACATGTGGTTTTTGTCCTTCAAACAAGTCTTGAAGCTCATTTTAATTCCAAATCAGAAGTTGCAAAACGTTTCATTTCATGGCAGCAGACATTTGATTGAATATTTGACGACGAACACTTATTCAAGTTTGGTTTCCTACATATCTTCCCCTCTGTTCCAGGCCAAATTTCCGGATGTTTATGTAGATTGTGTTGAAAATTTCTTTTCCTTAGAGAGAGCTGCTGGAAAAAAAATGACAGTCTCTTCCACATAAGATGTATCTGTATAACCGTAGTATCTATGTTATGTCTGAAGTTAACAGTAAAAACTTTTCATTAACTGTTTATTTCACAATGTACACATACAAAATATATACCATTTACATGTACTTATCATATAATAATCTATACTCCCAGGTCTACTAGTACTTGTGTGAATAAATTGCAAACAGCACACGTCAGTGACTATAATATGATTACCATTGTGTGTATGTTTCTCTTAAAATATGTGATTTTGGTCCATTTTAACTGAAATTGACTGCTGCTGTGCAATGATACATAACATGCAAGTCGAAAAAGATGCGTAAATTGGCAAAACAGATTCTCAGCAGATATCAGAGATATAAAAAGAAGAGTTTCCTTTTAGAATTCAAAGGCTTGTATTGCAAGTATACTCTTGTATGCAATAACCTGTGCAGTTTTATCTACATAAAGTAAACTCGGTAAAATTATCAAACATGTAAGATCTTGTGAAGAAGACCGTGTGTTTTGGAAGAAAACTACAGAGAGTGACTTTGCCTCCTAACATCTGCTTGAGGATGATGTAGTGTTGACTGTGGCAGCTCAGATTTTTGCCCTATTTCAAAGTGTGTATTTCTTAAAAGCCTGTATTAACATGATATTCACTTGCAATATGGAAAGATAAAGATTACTTCATGGTTAACCACAAAACAAGGCTCATGAGAGTCACTCCAAATGTTTTGGGTTACTGTACGGCCAGTGAGGACAGGTTTGTTGACCTTATACCCATTTGGGAAACAATCACGTGGTGGTTTATTCCATAGTGATGTTGTTTTAGGAAAGAACCTTTCAGCGTGGAACTTCCTCATGTTTTGGTATGATTTGGGCAAATTTTTGAATGAGGGATCGATGTGAACTAAATAGCTGCCAAAACTTTTTGCGCTTCTTTCAAAGTGTACATATTTACTACACATGCAGACATTTGCTCTTATTAATAGTTAATTGTATTCTACACCTAATGACAATCTTATCTTAACAAAGACTAGTTTTTCATAATGTGTTATGGCAATGAGGTTCTATTTTGAAAAAATTATGTTGAATGATGTTGAATGACTTTACCTCGAAATGCCACCAGCAGCAACTTATGAAAATATGTCAATAATCATCCAAATAAGGTCACCATTTACATGATAAATATCTGACAACGTTCCTCTCGTTCTTGTTATCTAACTATGCAAAGCATCAATTGAGCTATCTACACACCAAAAATCATGACAATCTGTCACCGCTTCTTCAGTTATCCTTTTTCTTCGACAAACACTCCTGCAGTTCAAGTACAAGGTGCTAGACGGCCCAAACTCACATCACTTCTTTCTGAGCGCAAGAGGTATCTACCACCCAAAATCCGTGACTGTATCATGTCCAGATCAGGAGATATCAAAACCGGACGTTCCACTATAGTACCATAACAAGCCGTTAGGGGATCCAAAGTCTAATCATTTCATCAAGGCACACACAAACGAGCGCCACCGAAAAATAATCTTGTCGACGGTAAGAACATAAAAATCTTCTGACACCATTTAATCGAATTATTTCTGCTTGACGAAGAAATGTGTTCTATGAATAATAATTTTGATAGATGAACTTTATTGTACATTCATGCCCTATCGAGCTACAGGTAAACAGATGAAAGGGTATATGAGTACAGGTGGACAGATGAAAAGGTGTGTACATGTTTGTAGTACAAACAGGACTAGCTCTAAAACTACTCTCATTCAGAGGTTCGGCTTCTTCTCGTTTCTTTGTGGTGTTAAGAATATAATTCAAAATGGCTTGTAGTCATGCATGCCTTGTGCACGTTGGGACCATATACTTTTAGTGTACGATGTACGACTAAAAAATAGACAAATCATCAAAATACAATCATGCACACACCATATAGTTCGCTCTTACCCCCCCCCCCAAAAAAAAT